GACCTAGGACTTAACACAGGGCAGGGAACCAGGACTGCTCTGTGGACTGGAGAGGGAGGGGGAGAGGAGTGGGGGGAGGGGGAGAAGGGTGGGAGGAGGGGGAGAAGGGTGGGAGGAGGGGGAGAAGGGTGGGAGGAGGGGAAGGGAAATGGGAGGCTGGGAGGAGGTGGAAACTTGTTTTTTGTTTATGTTTTTTTTTTCTTCTTTTCGCAATAAAAAAAAGAAATCCTTTTATGAAGAAAAAAAAAGTGAATGGCTTTTATGTGCACCTCTTAATAAACTTGTTGTAAATTAACAATAATGTGGGTCTGTATGAGAAAAGTATACTTACAAAACTACACAATTTTCCTATACTGAAAATTCCTCATTCCTAATACTGCGTCATTACATTGAGGTCTATTTAGTCTGGTCAGGTCTATTTATAGACAGGTCAGCTTGCGTCAACTCAAGACAGGCAGACCTTGATGGAAGAGCGTGTCTGTTGCTGTTATGCTCCACAGATATATTAGCACTTGGGCCTGCATGTCAGCCTCATGGCAGCTTCAGCAAAGCACAGAGCTTTGGTGGACTTGCTGCTCTACATGTAGGATCAAGGGGAGTCAAGTTATCACTGATCTGCAGCTGCTTCCGGGCTTGACGAACCAGGTGGGAGCAGTGTAACTTGGTGAAGATGACTCACTGAGCTCAAAGCATAAAGATCATTGTTTGATAAACACAACTTTAGAAACAAGCTTAGTTTAAGTTCAAGCACTGCCGCTTACAATTATAGCCTTGGACAACTTCCTTAAGCTGTCAAACTTAAAGTTTCCTCATCTTTAAAGAGGCATTTAATATTGCCTTCAGAGTTGTTCTAAGGATTCAATATGATAGAATTTCCTGAATGGTTCCGAGCCAGAGAGGTTCAGGGAGTGCTGCATGAGCCCTGAGCTCCTGAGAGCTCTCAGGAGTGAAATGCCTTAGGGGCCGGAAAGGCTTTAATAACTGTTTCCCTTGCTTTGTTTCCTGGAAATACTTCTTTAAAAGTTTTGCCTTTTATAAGAAAAAGTTCATGATTTTCTCCCCGGAAATTTGGTCTACTTCCCTTAGCCAAGAGGACAACTATATGTTTTTCCTTGGGTTCACCTTCTTCCTTAGCTTCTTTAGGTTCACCTCTTGTAGACTCCGTGGTCCTTCTTTATGGCTAGAAACCAATTATGAGTGAGTACATCCCATATTCATCTTTTTGGGTCTGGGACACCTCACTCAGGATAGTGTTTGGGGGTAAAGGGAGATGGGGAGAGAAAAGGTAGAAGGGAAGGAGGGGGGACCTGGGAAACAGGAGAATTGGGATAAAGGAAAGGTGGATAGGGGAGCACGGTACCACAATTCTTGGTTAAGGGAGCCAGTTTGGGGTGGGCAAGAGACTTGACCCTAGAGGGGCTCCCTAGTGCCCAAGATGAGGTTCCCAGTTGGTTCCTTGGGCAGCTGAGGATTGGGAACCTGAAATGACCCTATTCTAGAGCAATACTGACGAATATCTTGCATATCATCATAGAATCTTCATCTGGTGATGGATAGAGATGGAGACAGAGACCCACACAGGAGCACTGGACTGAGCTCCCAAGGTCCCAAGGAGGAGCGGAAGGAAGGAGAACATGAGCAAAGAATTCGGGACCACGAGGCGTGCATCCACCCACTGAGACAGTGGAGCTGATCTACGGGGAGCTCACCAAGGCCAGCTGGACTGTGACCGAAAAAGCATGGGATAAAACCGGACTCTCTGAACATGGCGAACAATGAGGGCTGATGAGACACCAAGGACAATGGCAGGGGGTTTTGATCCTACTTAATGTGCTGGCTTTGTGGGAGCCTGGCCAGTTTGGATGTTCACCTTCCTAGATATGGACGGAGGGGGGAGGACCTGGGACTTGCCACAGGGCAGGGAACCCGGACTGCTCTGTGGACTGGAGAGGGAGGGGGGGAGAGGAGTGGGGGGAGGGGGAGAGGGGTGGGAGGAGGGGGAGAGGGGTGGGAGGAGGGGGAGAAGGGTGGGAGGAGGGGAGGGGAGGTGGGGGACTGGGAGGAGGTGGAAACTTGTTTTTTTGTTTATGTTTTTTTTTCTTCTTTTCGCAATAAAAAAATTAATTAAAAAAAAACAAAAAAAAGAAAGAAAAAGTTCATGAAAAGACAAATAAGGAGGATAAAAAAAATGAAGTGAGGAAAGATAGATTCAGATGATAGTGGGAAGTTGTCTCTTCCCACTAGGGAGCTCAGCAGGATGACACTAGCCACTAAGGGTGCTAGAGATCTCTATAATAAGGCTATTACTTAAGCTAGGACCAGTTACCCAGAACCTTCACACAGTCCAGCCAGTAGATGTCATATCATCTTTATTATCTTAAATCCATGAAGAATTTTGCAGTAAAACATATTTCTTTTCTACTTGGTGAAAATGGATAATCAGTAGGGAAGATTTGCCTCTATATCCCAACATAATAACTCATGGCTTATATTGTGAGCTCCTACTTACTGGCTTTGCAAGTATATATTTTCTCTTTCTGAAAACCTTTGTCCAGACAGTCTTCACAATCCAAATACCCAACCATCCTCTTGCCCAGCATCTGCAACCTTAGAGACCAGATCTAGACAGGTGTCTGGTTTCTACACCTAAGTGGTAGCTCTTCCTGATAACATCCCAAGGACAGGTGCCTAGTGCACAGAGCGACCTACACAGTGCATGCTTGTTGAGGTATAAGGAAGTGTGATAGGCTGACTATGAACACAAGCCAATATATGAAGAAGCCAAGATGAACACAAGCCACTATAACTAAATCAACACACTAATTGTTGGAATGAAACTTCAGAAAAAAGAATGACTACAACTTCACACACACCCAAAAATAACCTCTACTTTTCCTTCTGATCGAGGGAAACAATAAGGTTAAAGAGGAAGAAATCTGCCTCTGTGTCCCATTTCAAATCCATAGAAATCTATCGAAATTGTTGTGTCTAGATGTCAAGCATAGCTCTGCCCTGAAATAGACCCAGGACGTGTCTGTTCAGTAAACTTGCCATCTACTTTGAATTGCCAAGTAGGAGAAAGGGCTTGTGGTGCTTCCTGTGATCATGTGACTATTTTCTCTTGCTTAATTTCATTTCTATCATGCCTATGGCAAGGAGTGGGGGAGTAATGCTCCTCTGAGTGCATATTCAGTGTTCTGTAGCTGTAATGTTCCTAGACCCGGTCTGTATAATAAATTCATAACAGTGTCTTCTCTCAAGGAGTCTTTGGCAGACTCTCAAACATCTGCAATGTGTGTACATTCTCTCTACTTTATAGAAAAGAGCACATTGTATTGTGTTCTCTGTACCCCTCTGTCTGCCCGCCCCCATGGTAGTCTCTTTGTGATTGACAATCACATCAGTTATCTTTGTGTGTTCAGAACCTGGACACAATGCCTGGCCATTGGAGCACTATAGGGTGGTAGGGGTTGGGGAAGGAAAGCTGTAGTTTGAGGGCTTCTGGCCAGTTAGCGGCTAACCAGAGGGAATACGAAGCTGAGAAAACAACAGGGTTTTTCCTTTCCAGATCTGTCTCACTTTAACAAAGCTTTGAGTGATAGTAAGGTAGCTGTGTTGGCCTGAACTTTGGATCACTTCCTGTGCATACAGGTAAGAGAACGTTGTGTTAAAAGAGAAATAATCTTAACTGACCCACACAGGAAACCACATTTCAGTTCAGCATCTGCTCCTAATCAACAAGTTTCGAAACAGTGAAGATTCCGTTTTAAGATTGAGAAACGAAAGCGTTGCTGCCCAACAGATACCATTCTTTGGCCTGGTCCTCATATATGATTGACTGAAGAGTCCCGTGAGGGCAAAATTATTTTTGGACAAATTCTCCCTTCTTCCTCATTTGTCCTCCTTATCCGTAGTACCTGCCAAAGCAATGTCAGACTACAAGAGATGCCTAACCCCTGATTGTTAACACAGTTCACTAAAAACTGATCGTTATTTCTAATTATAAGGTTTAGTAGCCTCTGAGGGAAACTATGGTAAGCTGTCGCTTTCTCCCCATTTTCTCCCCTGATTTTTAGGTGAGTAAATGAGGTCACAGGGGACTTTCTTCTCTCTCCTTTAGATCATAATCAAAAGCGCTCTCACAGTTCCTGGACTAAGAAGGACTTGACACAGACATTTTGTATTGACAAGGGACGACCACGTTAGTCTCAGAAAATCAGGACCAAAGCTTGACTATTACTTTGCTGAATACCTGCAGCCTAGAATTAGTTTGGGTAGTTGTTAGTTAGTAAATTAGCAGCTGGAAACTACTGCTGTATCGGGTGTTGTGTTTCCTCTCAGCTGAGCACTTCATATGAAGTTGTTCATGTGCATGCTTCGTATATCAAGGATTAGTGAATATGGAGAAAGAAGCCCTTAGATTACAATGTTTGCATTGCTCTTTGAAAGCCCCCAAACTAAACATCCCCAGTTTTATCTTGGAATAAAAGCATTAAGCACAGTTACAAGGCACCTACTGTGTTACAGGTTCCTTTAAATCCTATTTTATACCAAAACACAATGGTCAGAACACTAACTTCCCTTATAAAATGTTTTTTCAGATGAAGACAATACATCTCTTGGCTACTGTTCTAAATCACTCCAGCTATTACCTCTCTCCCCACTTTAAAGTCAAAACTCAAGTTTTCTAAAGCACCAGCAACAGAGAAGATCTCCCCCATTTCTCGCCTCACACAGAAAACTTCAACCATCAGAAACCATCATACAAAGTAAGCAATTCAGTGCTACAGATAGGTAGGCTCAAAGATGCTCAGGCCCAAAGAGATATCAGATAACAAAGTCAATCCAGGTATTTCTAGCCTGGTTGCCTGAAGGAACTGCTGATCTAACTATCTGTGAAATCAGACATTTTAAAGTTACTAGAGAGATTAATGGGGACTCTTAAAGTGATGTGCCCCCACATGAGCTTGTTCGGAGATGTTAAAAGCTGTAAGTCTTACCTTTTGTAGGCAGTGTCCCTCAGCACTTCAGGTAGAATTTGTTGATTATCTTTAAGGTGGCCAACACCGGCTGGTAACAGAAGTCTGGGTCTATTTGTGTAAAAGGAGAAGTGAAGAGAGAAAAAAATATGGTCGTGCCGTGAGGACAGGAAACCCAAGCGAGAAGGGTGAGGAAGTGAGACTGAATGTTCTCTCTTAGGCTCAGATAGTCAACTGTTCCCCAGTGGGTTTTCAGAGGCTCCCACCCACAGACAACTCTAAGATAGTTTCTGAGAACCAAAGACCTAGTACACCAATTTAAATCCTGGGGAACTCTACAGTGATTTGGGTGATAGTTCCTGTCTAGAGAACAGGGACTTCTGGATTGAAATGGCACCTAGGAATTACCTGTGGATCTTTTCTTGTGTAAGTGGCCCCACCACCTGACCACCAACTATACAATTAAACCATGGTGACAAAGACAGCATGGTACTGGAACCAAAACATACTTGTAGGCCAATAAAACCTAACAGAGGACACAGTAATAAACTTTATTTTTTCTTTTTTACTTTTTTTAATTTTGGATTTTCAAGGCAGGGCTTCTCTGTGTAACAGTCCTAGATGTCCTGGAACTAGCTCTTGTATACCAGGCTGGCCTCAGACTCACAGAGATCCACCTGCCTCTGCCTCCTGAGTGCTGGGATTAAAGTTGTGTGCCACCGCCACCTGGCTGAAATAAACTTTTACAGGTATGGATACCTTAAGAAACAGTTCTCCAAATAAGAAATACAGATGAACAACATAGTTTTAAGTGTTCAGCATCCTTCGCCTGCAAGAAAATGCAATTTAAAACTACTTTGGAGATAGAAACCAAAGAAGAAACCCAAAGATCTCCATGTTCATTGGTTGGTAGGATTAATATTTTGAAAATGACCTCATTACCGAAAGCAATCTACATATTCAATAAAAAAAATCCCCATCATAATTCCAGCATAGTCCTTCACAAAATCTGGAAAATCAGTATTCAACTTCATTTGGAAACAAAAAATTCAAAATAGCTAAAACAATCTTGAATTAACGGACTGCTGGGGATATTACCATCCCATGTTTCAAGGGGCATAACAGTGCTATACTAATAGCAACATCATGGTATTGTTTCAAAAATAGACATGTTATTCAATGGAATCAAATTGAAGTTTGTCCTATGGATATGTGATATTTGGTAAAGAAGACAAAACTACACAGTGGTGAAATGGAAGCAACATAAACAAACAAGGCTGCTCAAATTGTACGGCTATGTGTACAGTTTCTATCTTCAATGTCCTAAAGTTTTTATAATATGATGCATGGTTAGAGTTATCTCAAGAAAAATGTTTTAGACAACTAAAGCTATTGTTTTCTTGATTTCTTCCTTAGACTTGCATTTGCATAGAGGAAGTCTACAAGTTTCTGTAATTATGTTTCTATCTTGCTACTTCATTGAAAGTATAAGAATGTTAGGTTCTTTTGTGTATAAAATCATTTCATTTACAAAAAAAGACATTTTGACTTTTTGTTTTTTTTTTTAAAAAAAAACCTACTTTGAAATCCTGATCCTCTGGATTTCACAGTCTTTCAATCCCCTTGTTCGTGTTCTCTGATCCCTTAGGTGTGAGAGACATCTCCATCGAGACTGGGTATCCCATGGTCAGATGTTCTCTGCATTATGACTAGTTGTGTCTTTCTATCATGATCTCTGTTTGCTGCAAAGAGAAGCTTCTTCTCTTTGGATTAAGACCTACAATTACCTGTGGGTATAATGGTAAGCATTTAGAACACAACAGGAGTTATATTGTTTTGATGAGGTGGAAGTAGTGGATTCTCCTCTAACATCCATGACTTCACTAGACCCTGGTAGTTGGCTAACTTTCCGGGACCAAGCATGATATCCCTCCTATTGAACAAGCTTTTAGTCCAATTAGAGAGCTACTAGTTATCACCAAAATGTGAGTGTCACTATTGTTCCTTTAGGGATACCATGTCATGATGGCCATTGCTGTGGTTCATATGCAACCCAGCTGTGTAGAACTATTGGTTGTGTCCCTCCCTTTGCAGACTACATAGCATCTTCTGATACTATGAAAGCTGGTCTTCAAAGAGGGACACTTTAAGGTCAAACCCAGCTCAAATCCACCCAGTCCTGTGTCAGAAATGCATCATGTCTTCAACAATGGGGTCTTAACTCAAACTTCTGGGAGGCAACTGTGCTGGCTAGTTTTTTAGCTTGACATAAGCTAGAGTTATTTGGGGAACTAATTCCCAACTGAAAACAAAAATGACCACACCAGATTGGCCTGTGGGCAAGGCTGTTGTGCAATTTCTTGATTGATAATTAATATGAACCCAGGTCACTGTGGGTGCTGCCACTCCTGGACTGGTACTCCCGAGTGCTCTAAGAAGACTAGCTATGTAAGCAAGCCAGTAAGCGGTACTCCACGATCGCCTCTGTATCAGCTGCTGTGTCCAAATTCATGCTCTGCTTGAGTCCCTGCCCTGATTTCCCCAGCAACAGAATAACCTGAGATCATTTATTTTCTCCTTGAGTTCTTTTTGTTAATGGTATTTATCACAGCAATAAATCCTAACTGAGACAGAAATTGGTACCAGGACACAGACTATTCCTGTGACAGACCTGACCATGTATTTTTGTAAGATTGTGGTCACATTTGAACTTTGGGATAGAAATGTCATTGAGTGTTCAGCGATCAGTTGATTATTCTGTCGAAGTCTGGAAGATAAGACTGGTGATAATGGTGCAGAAGATGGAAGCCTGGGCTTTGAGGTTTCAGAGGAACATTCTGAGAGTCCTTTAAAGATTCTGTTGGGGTCATATAACGTTTTGAATCAAGAATCTATGGTGTCTGGCCAGCTGGCGTTGAAGAATTTGTGGTAATCAATGAGAGAAAATGCCAGTGAAGTAAAATGTTTTCTTTACTGGGACAATTTATGCTGGCTAGCTAGAGCTGAGACATTAGAGTTAATCAAAGTGAGACCACCATCATTGAGGATTATAAATATGGGACCACTTCCTCAGAGTCAGCACACAAAAACTGTGGTCCAGAGGAATCCAAGGCTCAATCTTGTTCTGGCAGATGAACTTCATAATGTAGGTAGGAATCACCCAGGGGATACTGATTTTGAAGACATGAAGGGATTCATGGAGAGTATCTGAGACTTGGCACTGTGTGGCAGAAGGGGAGTTTCAGAAGTGAGGACAACAAAGTTCATTAATGAAGGTTCAACCTCAGTTACAGCAGAAGCCCCAGAACTAAAGGGGTCATGGATTGAGTTGAAGGTTGGCACCATGTTTTGAAAAGGGGTGAGGGTGGCATGTTAGGAGTTGGAGGGAGAAGAGGGGAGGGGACATGATGTAATTATATTTTAAGGTTTTAAATTACAAAATATAAAACATTTTTTTAATAAAACAAGAACAACAAATGTTGCTGTTTTTAGTGGCCCTCCCCATGGCACTACTGGGGTACCTTAAAACTGCCCGAGCCTTCTGCTGCTACTGGGTTGCACTTTCACTAGCCTCTCCTAGGCTCTCTTCATGGTCCCTAACCTCAAGTTCTCTGCAAGACCCTTTCAGTCCTGGTACTTCATCTGCTACTGAGGCTACACCTTCATTAATGGCATCCCTGACCTCTCATATTGCTAAGCCTCAGCTTCTCTCCCTGACCCCTTCAATCTTTTAAACCCAGAACCACCTGGGTGACTCTTACATTACCAAGTTTGGTTGCCAACAGGAGGTAAAACCTTAGTCACTTCTGGAACCCAGCTCTGTATGCTAACCCTGAGAAAACTCTTCCCAGACGACTTCACCTCAGTGATGCTGGTCTCTTCTTAATCACAACTCATTCTTCAGCCCCACATGGCCAACGTCATTTATCTTGGCAAAGCAAAAGTTTCAGATTAGATATTATAGTATTATGTTAATCACAGCCAATTCTTCAGTCCCAGATAACCAGAACCACAGATTCTTAATTTAAATTGCCTTCGTAGAGCTTTTGTTTCCCTTTGAAACTTTGAAACTCCAGGCCTCCATCTCCTGCAGTACACACAGTGTTCTTTTCCCCCGAGTTCCTACGGAACAGCTCAATGAGCTCTCAGCACGCTATGTCTTTTCTTGTCCAAAAATTTAAAGTCCTGTCATGATCCTCCCTAAAACAGTCAGGCCTGTCATAGCAATACCCCACTATCTTGTTACCAGCTTGTCATAGTTTGGGTTCCTATTGCTGTGATGAAACACCATGGCCAATAGCAACTTGGAGAGGATAGGGTTTACTCCACTCACAGTTCCATACAACACTTCATCAATGAGGGCGGGAACCTAGAGCCAAGAGCGAATAAGGCCATGGAGGGGACTACTTGCTGTCTTGCTCTCATGACTTGCTCGATTCTTATAACTTAAATTAACCCATGTCTATTATTCTGTATTTTAACACAAGGTTATGACTTGTTATCTCATATCTTGCTTCATCATCAGATGCAGGCACCTCCCTGATCCTAAACTCTTCATCATGCTCTGTTTGGATTTCTCACCAAGCTGTATTCTGCCTGGCTATTGGCCAAATCAAGTTCTTTATTAGCAAATGGTTATAAGATACATTGACAGCATACTGAGGGGCATCCCATATCATTTCCCCTTTTCTGTCTAATTAGAAAGGAAGGTCTCAACTTTAACATAGTAAAATTACATATACCCAAACAGCTATCAAGCAAGGATTACCTACCAGCCCAGGGGTATTACCACTTACAATGGGCCAGGCCCTCTTCCATCAATCAGTACTTAAGAAAATACCCTATGCACCTGTGTACAGCCCAATTTTTTAATTAATTAATTAATTTTACATTTGTACTACAGCCTCCCCTCCCTCCTTTCCTCTCACTCTCTCCTGCCACCTCCCCTCCACCACCTACCCACAATCACTCCACCTCTGTATTCACTCAGAAAGGGGCAGGTCACCCATGAGCATCAGCAAAGCATGGCATATCAAGTTGCCATAAGACCGAACATCCTTCCCCTATATTTAGGCTGGGCAAAGCAACCCAGCATGAGGAATATGCTCCCAAGAGTCAGCC